AAATCTCACAGTATACCGTACTTCCCTGATCATAAGCCCGGAGGCATGAACACGTAAAGGGAAAAGTAAGGGATGAACTTATACTCGAGGACCAACTCAGAAAAGATGATTTTGTTTTGGGGTTAAACACTGTAACCATCTTGCTAACAACGAAAAATTATCCAAAAAAATTATTCGTTCACCACGCCGGGCTTGGGAAAATAATACTTATTTTTGAAAAAAAAAATGCGTCATTGATTTCCACAACACTTACAATGAAGAAACAAACATGTTCATAAAAACACACACATTTTATTACAATACGATTTACATACTGTCTGAATTTACAGTGAAATAATGGGTAGGGTCTGTGGACGAAGGCATTTATCATTATCTTTGTTTTGGTATGTTTTCGATCGTACGCAAACTCTTGACGCAAAGCAATTTTCCACCATGAGGTTTTTCAGCACGATTTGACCTGGAACAACTTCCTTTGACCTAACAGGTCATGTCTTTCATTAACCAATCAAAAAAATGGGTCGTAATGATGAAATTTTCCGATTATTGACGATGATTTTTTAACACAATGCGGAAGTGAATTATTGCGATCTGTAGCACTGATTGCAACGAAAAAACAATGATTTTTTCCCTAAAAACTGGCGATTCGCAATTTCCGAAATATAAACAACGGTTAATAGTAACCTTGGGTAAACTGAGTGTGGAGGAAGAATTTAAACACCTTTCACGGTCGCCAACATGTCACATTGTTCAAACCCTAGGCCTTTCATGATAGTCTCAAAGTAAACCGTGCCCAATAACCAGGTACACGACTTAACGATCACATTTTTGGTTTTTCGAAAGCTACTACTCAAAGAAATATGGATTACTCCAGTATTGCAACATCGGGGTTCATCCTGAGTAAATGACAGAATAGAAAGGTTTTCTCATAAAAACTAAAAGCACGAACCAAACTACCATGCCAATCACGATTATTACGAAATGAAACACATTTTACACGCATATTTTAAAGAATATCGTCGACGCCCAGTAAAAACACTCTGGGCTTATAATCGTGATTGCTCTCAACTCGATAAATACCTAGTAAAAATATAGGGATGGGCTTCATACTCGGGAGGGGCTTACGATCGGGGAAGTACGGTACTTTAACGCAATTGGGCTTCCACTCTCAGAATACTGTTTCAAACGCATAGGGCTCTAACCCAAGTTTTAAAAAGCACATTGTGCATATAAAAGTTGAGTTTATACTCGTAGTACACAACGCTTGGCAGCATGAACGGCTATGTACAATGGGTATACGAATGTGATCAGATACTAAAACGTCATAGCTTTGAAAAGTACCCGGATGTTAAATATGCTCGTTCGTTGTTTATTCCCTCCATGAATGGCCTCCATGGTGTTTAATTGCAAGCACTTCAAATGCCTATCTAAGCTACAGTTATAATTAAAACAAAATTAAACCACTGCAATATTATTTCGAATACAGTTTAGAATATACACAACTATAAATTAAGGCCGCATTTAGGTTTGCTTTAACCTGACCTCACCAATATTAACCTTCAATGACTGATACCAACCTAACAGTACTAATATATTGACCCATCTGACTGATATTGAGCTGACCTGACTGATATTGACCTGACCTCACCAATATTAACCTCCTCTGACTAATATTACCCAGAGCTGACTGATGTTAACCTCTCCTGACTGATACCAACCCAACAGTACTGATAGATTAACTCATCTGACTAATATTACCTAGAACTGACTGATATAAACCTTACCATGTGTGGTTCATCAGCCTTTCGTGGTGACCTCTCTATTACACCCAGCAAGTCTACTAGACATGGCAGTAGTACTTCCAACATCACTACTTCCTGTGAATAAAGTTGTTTGTACAGTGCTTCATATATCACCATAGCTCTGCCATACCATTTCAGTTCTGTAGCATTCTGTCAGGAATAAATATTAATAAAATAAAATTCAAACTAATGTGAAAACCTAAATAATTATCAATTGATGACATAGTCCCTGTTTGTTTTGAATATTTATAATCTCAATTTAGCTAAAATGCCAACACTCTCAGTGTGAGAATATAATTTATTTTAAATTAGCAACATCTTGAATTATTTCCTATGTCATATCTCAAAATTCATTTGAGGACACGAGAAAAAAATAATATGACATTTATAAATTAAAATCCAGTGAATAATTAATACATTTACAGTATTTGTATATAGACCTACATGTATGGATCCATTGAGCTAACAATGCAGAAACTTTAAAAGAACAACAAACATTTTATATTTTGTTAAGTGGAAGGTTCCATCAAACAAAATATTTAGGCACGTGAAATTTGTTTCCATGGAAACAATGACTGTTCTTTGGCCACAGTGTTCAACCCAATTTACTCTGGCAGCCATTTTCAATTAAATTTCTTTTCAAATGCATACAACTGAAATTTCTAATTCAACTGGACTACCATATAGTCACATTAAAACATATGAACATGGAACTACTTTGTGTATAAAAAAAATGCTAAAAAACATGAAAACGACGATGTTTGAGCACTTTAACATTGGTTACTATGGGGACAAATATCTTGTTATATATCAGAAAATATTATTTGGACACATATAGTGAAAAATATATTTTGTTATAAATAAATAAATAATTATGATTGTAATAAGTTTTTAGGATATTATGGAGAATACTATTTATTTTTCATAAAAGAATGATTTTACACAATTCTCTCAAAAACCAAGATTAGTACTGGATAAAAACACCAAAATGACATACAACCAAAGCTATAATTAAACAGCACTTTTATAACAAAATATTGTGATTTCTATTCTTTCCAATAGGTTGAAATACCTGTAAACAACTTAAATGTAGGTCAAACAGGGTCAAAGGTCAACTTTAACAAAGTTACGTGATATCTCGTGTTTGGCATAAATCCAAGGGTTGAATACACTTGTATGTATACAAAAGACCCCTTAGGCTGACAATGATTTGAAAAGCAGTAAAATCAGCTTGTCATGCAGCCATTGTAAACAGCAATAAGGAAATGCATACCCCCGGTATATTTTATATTGTTGATTTTCGCTTCCCTAGAGAGTACTACAATTTACACCCCCCCCCCCCCATTCAATATGGCTGCATTCAACATTTCCCTCCCAATTGTATTTAATGACGATTTCTTTCGGCTGTTCTATCTATTTGGAGATCTACAAGAATTAAAAGTCAGTGTAAACAAAGTCACATGATACCGAGGGTTTGACATAAATCCAAGAGTATACAGAAGACCCCTTAAGTTGACAGTGATTTGAAAAGCATTGAACCCATGCAGCCATTGTGAATACCAATAATGAAGAAAATACATATTGTGAATTTTCACTATGCTAAGGAGTGAAATCAATACAACTAACGTTACTACAATGGCTATGGCTGCATCCAACAAGTCTCTCCTAGACGAAGTTACTGAGGATTTCCTCAGCTGTTCCATCTGTTTGGAGATCTACAAGAATCCTAAGGTTCTACCATGTCTTCATACATTCTGTCAGCAATGTTTGGTAACTTTTAAGGCTAAATCTGGGGG